TGGTTTTTCTTTTATCATAGTAATAAAAAAGCATCCCTTCAGAGTACTTATTCTAGTAAAGAGTGTCAATTTTAGGAAAAGCACCATATTAAGTCCTCCAGCAGTAAAAGGGCCTGTGTGAGCGACAGAGGTCTGGGGTGGGGGTGAGGATGGGGTGGGAGTAGGGGTGAGGTAGGGTTCTGCAGAACTTTCTGGACATCTCCCCCAGCCCTGGCTGCCCAGGGAACATGAGCCACTTTCTTAGTGGGGAAGGAGTATGTGTGGACCTCAGAGATAGAACCGCAGGCCCCACCGACAAGGGCCCTTCTTGTCCTGGGGTCCTGGGCGTGGGGACCCCCGATTTCTAGCATCTGTGTTAAATCCAAACACTTTCATTCAAGCCCTCTCCTAAGAGCCAAGAAAAACCAGACACCCTATTGTGAAGCCCCAGCCAGTAACATGTTCAAACCAAACCAGCTGCTTTCCTAATGGATTCAGAGAATGGTCTAATCAAGCGTTTTACTTAGAAATGCTTTGTGCAGAAAGAACTCACTGCTCTCTCATGGGTGTGAAAAATAAAAAGCAAAGTTAAGGCAAAATATTTCCCTTGCTGGGCTTGAAGCAGCAGTCCTCTGGCTGGTGAGACTCCCACCCCCCTTTTCAGCTCTCTCCTAGGTTGCCCTCCTTGGTCCTCCCCCTGCCTTCTGCTGCAGTGGACATCCTGGGAGTGGGGTCTCATGTGATGCACCCTCCCCAGGCCAGGGGTGGGTGTCCTTATCTTCACCCCCGATACATATGGCAGGGAGGGCTCAAATAACACCGCCTATAAAATGCTGGCATGAAAGGCAAGTCTAAGCTTTGATTCACCTAATGTAGATAAAAGCCCAGTAAGTCCTGTTTACCTGTTTCCTCGGGGAGGGGGGAGCGGGTGTTTATCTCCTCTACCTGGCTCTGCAGGACTCTGAACCCCAGGCAGCGGGCTTGGCTGATCACACCGGCCCCTCCCGAGGCCCACGGGGTGGTGGGCGAGCAGACGGTGGGCACCTGAGTGTTAAACCACAGCCCTTTGGTAAATACCCTGGGAACATCTGGACTTCATTAATGAGATTAAAATGAAGATTTCCTAAACATGTGCCACGTCATTTATATACCATCTTGAGCCTCTAAGAGGGCTCAGCTGGGCACACTGGCATTTGAAAACTCACCTGGGAAGTGGGCCACCTCATTACTCTCTTACAGGGATGTAAAACAAGGGCAGTGCTGGCTGTCTCTGGGCAGTTGTTTGATTTTTCTGTTATTTGTTTTCTGTATTTCCATAAATCGTTACAGTGATATGTATTATCTCTATTATCAGAAAAGTAATAAAGGTTATTAAATGAACTATCTGAAGGACAGTGATTGGTGACGTCAGCAAATTAGTTTGAGAATGAAAATGTCTCTTCAGTTTCCTGCTGGCCACACATCCGGAAGTCGACCACAAGTCCCAGGGAACATGAGTGGCCTCTTCTGCTTCCTGCTGTTCTGGTGGCGGCTCCCATGGCAACAGGGCAAAGGTGAAAGAGATGTGGCGGTCACTTCTACACCCTTTGAATCTACCTGCTCTCCGTGACTGGTAGCGGTGCTGGCCAGGGGAACAGCCAGGGAATGAACCCATCTATACAAACTACGGCGATTTTGTACTTGGACAAAAACAGATTTTAAAGTTTCGATAGTCGCTGCAAGGAATAATAAAACTTCAATATATTTAGTATCAGCCGGAATTTTCTTAAAAACAGCTGAGCTAGAAAAAGAACATTGTGCCACAAGATTAGATCGTAAGCCTCGTAAGGGCAGGGCCGGGCCTTCAGTTTTGTCGGAATAATTTCTCCTGTCTCTGTAGCTCCTCCCCCAGCACCTGATCCACGAGCGTGATCCCCAGGAAAACACGGGCAGCGAAATCTCAATTTACAAAAACTAAATCAATGTATTTAGGTTTTGTGAACACGAAAACCTAAATCTGTGTTTACAAAAGGATTCACAGAAAGCTTTCTTCAAATAGTGAATTTCCCTGCAGCAGTTAACATGTTTTATTCACAAATTTTGTGTCTATAAGCCTGTTTTGGTTATAAAAAATGAGATAAAGATGTAGTGCTTGTTTTGCTCTAAGGCAAGAGTTTTTTGTTTTAAAGGACTTTTGTTTAAAAGTACTTTTGTTTAAAAGTACTTTTCCACTAGGTAAAACAAATAAACCATAGAGTGCATAATTTAGTATACCTCTCAGCAAATATTTACATTACATACACCCGTGTAAAGACCAACCAAAGCATGATGGAGAGCATTTTCTGCATCCCAGAAGGTTTTGTCACTCTCTGTCCCCAGTCAATCTCCCCTCCCCCAAAGGAAACCACTGTGTTGACTTCCATTATCATCAATTAGTTTTGTTTTACATGGGAGTCCAATCTATTAAAAAAACTAAAAGTGCAGCTACTTTCATTGAAGTAGGATGGAGGCCTTAGACCCCACCTATTGCTTTCTTCCTACAGTCTCTACTTCTCTCACTTCCCAATTCAGAATTTCTCTGATGCACTCCCCTCCCCATTTGTTTGTTTATTTATATTGTGGTAAATATATCTATATATATAGATATACATATATATATATATAACATTGCCATTACAACTACTTTAAGTGTACAATTAAGTAGTGTTGATTATATTCACAATGTTGTACAACCATCACCCCGAACAGTACAATACCCACTGAACAATAACTCCCATTCTCCCCTTCCCCCAGACCCTACTAACCTCTAATCTACTTTGACTCTACAAATTTGCCTATTCTCAATATTTTATATAAGTGGAATCATATAATATTTGTTCTTCTGTGTCTGGCTTCTTTCAGTTAGCATAATGTTTTCAAAGTTAGTCCATGTTGTTGAATGTATCAGAACTCCATTCCTTTTAATGGCTGAATAATATTTCATCATAGATATACCACATTTTGTTTACCTATTTGAGTGTTGATGGACACTTGGGTTATTTCTCTGATGTACTTTTTAAAAAAGACATAATTGTTCCTTCTTATTTTCTTGATTTAAATGCAGTTGACCCTTGAACAACATGAGTTTGAACTGCCAGGGTCCACTTACATGCAGATTACTTTCTGCCTCTGCCACCCCTGAGACAGCAAGATCAACCTCTCCTCTTCCTCCTCAGCCTACCCAACATGAAGATGATGAGGATGAAGACCTTTATGATGATCTACTTCCACTCAATGAATAGTAAATATTTTTCTCTTCTTTATGATTTTCTTTGTAACATTTTGCTTTCTTTAGTTTATTGTAAGAATATGGCATATAATACATATACAAAATATGTGTTAATTGACTCTGTTATCAGTAAGACTTCTGGTCAGCAGTAGGCTATTAGCAGTTAAGTTTTGGGGGAGTCAAATTTCATATGCATACTTTTAATTGCATGGTAGGGGCAGGGGACAGTGCCCTTAACCTCCAAGTTGTTCAAGGATCTACTGTAATTTTATGCTTGGACAAAGATTGGATATTGAAAAAATGGAAGAGGTGAAAACCAAGCAAGCCTTTTATAATTAAGACTGAATAAATTTTACAAACATTACCTCTGGTTATTTAAAATTATATTAAACAAGATAATTCTTTTAAAGCACCCAATGCAATTATCTGGTATACAATAAGCACTCAAAACATAATTTTTATTATAATACTTTTAGAAAATAGATACTTCTTCAAGATTGAGCACAGGCTGGGTGCGGTGGCTCACACCTATAATCCTAGCACTCTGGGAGGCCGAGGTGGAAGGTTCACTCGAAAAAAAAAATTAGCCAGGCATGGTGGCATATGCTTGTAGGCCCAGCTACTCAGGAGGCTGAGGCAGAAGGATCGCTTGAGCCCAGGAGTTTGAGGTTACTGTGAGCTAGGCTGATGCCACGGCACTCTAGCCCGGGGCAGCAGGGTGAGACTCTGTCTTGAAAAAAAAAAAGATTGAGCATAATCTCAGGCTATTTTTTAGCACAGTATTATTTCACATCCTTACAATGGAGTTCAGTCATTTGAGAGTCAACCAACATTTACAGAACATCTATGTGCCAGACATCATTCTGGACACTAGGGTTATAAGAGACTTTAGGGATTATCTAATTCAACCTATCATTTTATCAGGGAAAAAAACCGAGGCAAAGAGAGGATTATGTGATTTGCCCGTGGTTATTCTACCACTGAATAGCAAAGCTGGATGCTTTTTCTACCATCTCTTTTCAAATAGCAGCATTTGATAAATGCACGGGAACTTCCTTGGACAATCTATTCTCCAGTGGGCTAAATGTGTCCATTCTCCTCTGCTGTGGTGTGAAATATGTCCCTAAATATGATATTCCCTTCAAAAAGTGGGATTCTCCTCCCCTTGAGTATGGGCTAGACTTAGTGACTTGTTTCTAATGACTAGAAAAAAGGTAGAAGTGACAGTGTCCAACCTTGGAGATGAAGTCATGAAAGGCACTGAACCTCCTGCTTGTGCTCTGTCTGGATGACTTGCTCTGGCAGCAGCTAACTGCCCTGTGTGAGGACATCCAAGCAACCTACAGAGACGCCCACATGGCAAGGAACTGAAGCCTCTGGCCAAGAGCCTTGAGAATCATCTCAGAAGTGGAGCCTCCAGCCCTACTCAAGTTTTCAGATGGCCTTGGCCAACACTTGATACAATCTCATGAGCCCTCATATAACTTGTGAAATAGTAAATATTGGGGTAATTTGTTACACAGCAGTAGAGAACAAATACACTCTCTTATTATCCCTTTGTTTTCATTCCTAACCTTCCTTGACCTCCCTCCAATACCTTATTTTAGAGATTTTATTCTTAGAGCAATGACTGACATTGTTTTTTTTTTTTAGCTCTGATACTTTTGCTATGTTTATTTATTTAACAACTTTATTGAGATAACTTACATACCATAAAATGGTTAACATATTTTTAAAATTGCGATTAAAAACCATACAACATAAAATTTGCCATTTTAATCATGTTAAGTATACAATTCAGTGGCATTAAGTGCATTTGTGACATTGTACAGCCATCACCACTATCTAGTATGGAAGCTCCATACCCATGGTTCACACATTTTAAAATATTAATTTTATTTTGTCCTTCAAACTTGGAACAATCATGTAGTAACAAAGAAAAATTAGTTCAAAATGAAATAAAGCCTTCTTTAAAGGTAAACACATTTAGGAAGAAAGAACATTAATATCACTAAGGACAACAAACAAATCTTTTCACATTCTTGTACAGAATAAGAAAATCTAATGAGGTACCTTCCATCATGGATAAAACAAAATCTCAAATATTAGTTTTCCGAAAAAATTAGCCTTTAAAACTCTTTAAATGCACTGAATGCAGAACATCCCTATTGTGCATAGTAATCAAGGAACTGGAATTGGGGAAGCTATTGGGATTATAATAGGGAGAGCAAATAGGTGTCATGTAGTGAGGGCCTCCAATCTTATAACAGTGACAGCTGCCCACAGCCCTGGGACTAGAAAAGTGCAGAAGGAACATCAGGGCTCAGTTCATACTATTCATCTGCCACAGGCCTCAGGGTGAGAGGTGATGGCATTTTGGCCAGCTATCTGCCAACCCAGGAGTTGGGCAAAGGTTGGGAATAGATATCATTAGTTCTAGCACCATTTCTTCCCAATACTCTTTAATACAATACAGGTTAGTAGTGACCAGAAAATATTGCTACTGAACTGAAGGATGACTATGCAAGGGCCTATATTGTATTATTCCATAGTTTTAGTTTCTGGTATCCCATGAAGAATAAAAATGAAGATTGTTGGCAAGAGAGTAACTTTGGTAGGCACAGTTCCTTCTCCCCCCCACCCCAGGGCATTACAACCTCGCTATAGAGTGTCCTGTGGCTACCTAGATATGCAGATTATGCTACTATGTCAGCAGAGGCAGCTTAAGAACAGAATAACAACAGTTGGAAGACATTTATATCACCCCTGTATTGGGCTCAACAGGCTAGCATCTTTCACGCGACACTTTCTCATTTACTCATTTTTCCATTTATTTAAAAACTAAATTGAGTACCTTCTAGGTAGCAGGCACTGTTCTATACATTGGGGATAAGCAGTGAAAAAGACAGTGGAGCTGATGAAGAAAGGAGTATTGCTTTTGCACATATGTCTCTGAGTATGACACTCCCTGGAGCCAATCTGGACTGATTCCTGTTAGCAGGATGTTAGTGGGACTAAGAAAGGCTGCAGGTCAGACTGTACATCCTTACCCTGACTCTGGGACCTCAATGCAGGCAGTGAAGCAGGGAATAAGAGGAACGTGGGTGTGCCCTCTTTGCTTTACCAATGCCCAGTACCCCAGATGCTGGCCATTTCCGTTCTCAAACTGCCCACCTCCATCACCTCAGGACAAAATTATCCTGTCCTGAGGTTTTTATCTCACTGCTAGGAAACAGCAGTGCAGTTCTTAATATAGTATGAGATAAAGCCCCCATCACGATGATAACCTCCGTGCAACATAGGAAAATCCTCACTGAACAGCATACTCACAGGGCGACTCCACCACCTGCCCGGGCGGGGTGGGGAGTGGGGCTGCAGCTTCAGCACAGGGGCGAGAGGGAGCAGGGCTTGGCAGAGTTCCAAAACTCAGGGGTGCTCAGGCTGGAGAGGCACAGAGGCCTCCCCAGGCAGGACACTGGGGGCCAAAAGAAAGGCAGGAAAAGAGCCACTGGGGAGCTGGGGGTGGCAGGAAGTCTAGACAGAGTGAGCCATGGCTGGGGAATGAAAATCTAGGATAAATACACATTTCTTTATTGTAAAAACCAAAAACTAAGGTGCAGGCAAATAGCCATGTTGACCATCACAATGGAATGGGCCCCATGCCCAGTGATGAGATGAGTGAGTGGGGGGTGAACCAAGGAAGGTCATTCACATGGAATGCTTGAACACGATCTCTCAGACAGGAGAACCCCCGGCCAGCAGAACCATTAACAATTGTCTGCTCCCTTCATTTGTTACAAGAAATTTGAGTCATTCCAATAAAACCGGCTATTGGCACGGGGAAATCTAACGTCTGACTTGTGAGGCAAAGAGAGCCAGCTGCTCTAGCCTCCAGGACGCTCTGAGAACTTCCTATTTCAAGTTCCCAGCTGTCCCACGGCTTAGGAAAAGGGGATGAAGCTAGCCACCCCTGCCGCTAGACGCAGGCCCTGGCCAATAACAGGAGTGTTCTAGATTTTATCAGCTTCGTAAATGCACTAGGGGTTGAAATTAGATCCCTCAGCGTGGTTTTAGGAGCCAGACAAGTGCCAAGTGAACCCAGGTTGGGATAACAAATGAAACGAGAGTCACGAGAGTAAAGGCCTGGAGTCCAACTTTGCAGCAGGAAGGTTTTCTGGCCTCCCCAAAATCCTACATCCAAGGCCCCCACGCCCCAGTGCTCTTGGGGTCACAGCGGGGGTCCTGCGTGGGGAAGTACACGGGCACGGAGTGCTTATGGTAGAACTGTAGGCGGGAAAGGAGCTTCGAGACGACGTGGGGATATTCTCTGGACAGGTCATGCCTTTCTTCTGGGTCCCGCTCAATGTCAAACAGCCAGAGGGTCTTGGTGGGTGGGTCTGATGACGGTATCTCAGAAACATTGGATTGAGTCGGTGGAGGGAACCAGTAACTACAGCCTAGCAGAGCAACAAAACAGGTCATTGAGGGAGAAGCATGGAGGGCAGGCTCTAATTTCCAGAACAGGTCTGAGGACAGGGCTGCTCTGGGGTGGGGATGTGGACACATGAAAAGATGTAGCCCCTGATGGCGTCTCTAAGTTTTGTCTCAGACTCTGACTTCCAGTGCTTTCACTAGACATGTCTCGCTGCTGCACAGCCAGGCATGTCGGGAGTGTGTGTGCATGTGTGTGCGTGTGAGGGGGATTTTCAGTTGTCACATGGACTGGGGGTAGGGGTGTGCCTGGCAGTGAGTGGGCATGGGCCAGTGATGCCACCATGTCTTGTGATATACATGGGACAGTCCCAAACAATGAAGAATTGTCTTGTTGCAAATGCCAAGAATGTCCCCATTATAAGTACTGCTTAATGGCCTCACAGCCTTAACCATCACACCATGTGTTTAAAAAGTACTGAAAAGATGTCACTTTTAGAGAATATGGTCAGGGGAAGCAACCTCCTTCCCCAGCTCTGCCATCAGCTGAGGGTGTAGCTCTTGGAGATTCTCTTTGCTCGCAGAATGTGCTTTGCTCGGTAGGCACACGTATCTGAAATCTGTATTTTCCATGAAGCACCGGAGTAGCATTTTTCCTTATACCCCCACTACAGTTAATTCTCAATTTTTTTGGTCTTTTTTGAGGGGGAGGTGGTGAGGATCAGTAGATGAAACCATTCCTCCTCCTTCAGCTGCCCCAGAGAGATGTTTTGCAAAAGGCAGTTACTTTGGTAAAAGTTTCCCTTGATGTTCTGGTGGGAAAGCCTACATGGGCCAGGACAACAATGGAAGCTGTGTCACTGGGAACAGGCCGAGTCTTACAAGTGGGAAACGAAAGCCTTGAATAAATGGTCATCTTTCTTATGACACATCTCAGGAGGGATCATGAAAGATTTGAAAGACAAGTTAACATTTCAGGTGTCTGAGCAAAATGAGGTGAGTGGTAGGGCTTAGGAACCTCAAGGAGCCAAGCAGGAAAAGATGGCCACAGAGGGAGGAAGTGGTTAGAACAAGTGTGATAATGTCCTCTCTTTCCAGAGGAATGGCCAAAGAAATATAACCCAACGAGGGGAAGCAGACTGGAGACACTGCCCTGCCCTGTCTACCGCGGGAAGGGAAGTATGCTCAGTAAGCTAAGCATCGTACCTGGGTAGCCTGTGAGGAGTTTCCAATTTCCATGTCTAATTGCAGCATGGATAGATGTGTTAAAAGCTGAATATTCTGGAAGAGAAGAAGCATCCTTTGCTGGGGCCATGCCGTTCCCAGGACCTGGGAAGAAATAGTTTGGAAGAATTAGATCGCTGTTATTGGAACGTGTCGTAATAAATCAGCATTTTATGTGCTTCTTGCAGAACAGTAGCTTTTATTCAACACTGGAGTGCAAATGTGTATCTTGCCACAGAAATGAATCTTTTATTAAATGCAAACAGAAAGCTATAGTTATATGTCAGTCATACACCACCACAAATATAAAGAAAATCCCAAAGAGATTAGAAGACTAATTCATCCTTAAAATCACTATATTCTGCCAATGTACAGCTGGCCATGTGCAGAACAGTGTTTTCTATAGCAGTGTGGGTGGGTATTTTGTGTTTCTTTTTTTTTGCTGCTGAATGTTTAAATTAAACATATTTTCCCATAATTCCTATGTAGATAGTATGATAAATTATAAAATGTACATTTCAGTGGAGTATATCTCAAGCTATGAGAGTTCAATCATGCTATTATAAAGAGTACATTTATTTATTTATTTTATTTTTTGAGACTGAGTCTCACTCCATTTTGTGGGCTAGAGTGCCATGGGATTAGCCTAGCTCACAGCAACCTCAAACTCCTGGGTTCAAGCGATTCTCCTGCCTCAGCTTCCAGAGTAGCTGGGACTACAGGTGCACACCACTACACCCAGCTAATTTTTCTGTATTTTGTATAGACAGGGTCTCACTCTTGCTCAGGCTGGTCTCAAATTCCCGAGCTCAAGCGATCTTCCCACCTTGGCCTCCCATGGTGTTAGGATTACAGGCGTGAGCCACTGCACCTGGTCAAAGAGTAGATATATTTATTTTTTAACCACACTATGAAATATAAAAGTTAGCAGTGTTTAACTAACTATTCAGACAGGATGGCGATAAATTTGGTATACAAATTATTGGTTGGTATCATGGATTACATTAACGTATCATTTTGAGGTTTTATATTAATTGATCATCAGGTTTTTGAGGGAGCAATTACTAATACCTATTTCCTCTGGAGTTTGGAACCCATCAAGAGGTAGAAGCTAGACAGATGGAGCAAAAAATATTACTTTTGTTACTGACAAAATCAATTGGCGAGAACATGGCTTCACATCTGTGGCAGGGAGAGCTTGCTGATAACTGACCCTTGATTCAAAAGGACTTAGCCACCGTCACTGACCTTGCTGGACACCCACTGGGCTCCCGTGAGCACAGCCCAGAGCAGACCAGAGTGTGCTCATACAGCTTGGTGACAGGTTGGCTCAGGAACAAGACAGACAAAAGGATGCTCAGTCCTCCTTTTGGATAACTCCCTCCTTTGCCTGCTTATGGGGAGGGGTGAGTAAGGAGCAGTGAGGGTCCTTCCACTCTTGCGGAAGACACTGATGGATCATGAGGGCAGGCTATGGAGGTCTCTCGCCTTACTCTGACTTGCGCATAGTTCAAAGCCTCAACTTGGAGTCTAGCTGAATAATAATCTGTTTTAAGCCCACATTTATCTGTTAACTTTGCAAATATGGTCAGGGCCATCATCTTGAGAGCACTTCAAAAGGTTGCTTAATTACCAGCCCAATAACGAACTGCCATCTGCCTGACTTCGAGAGCACCCTCCTCCTTGCCAAAGCAGGACTTCTGTGCTCCTCAGGGTTTGATGCAGGAAGCCCTGTCCGTGGTGGAAAAGGCGGCAAGTCCCACTATTTTGACAGTCTTTTGGAAATGACCCTGTAGAGGAGACTGATCCAATAAACATCAGTGCTTCCAGAGCTGCAGTCTGAACAGTCACTCAACAACACATCTTTAGCACCAAAGAAGAGAATCTTTTTGACTTCTGGCTTCCTTGCTTGTGGCTATTTTGGCTCCAGTGGCGCCCATCCAGCCGATGCTTCTAGTGACTGAGGTGCGTGAGGATGTCTATCCCCGGAAGTGGGTTCTTAATACACAGACTGCGGTAAGGCTGTGAGCCCTCATGATTTCCTCCTCACGAGTTTGTACGAAGGTCACGTTTTGATACCAAAGAACGTTAAATAAAACAAGCATATTTTGTGAACATTAAAAAAAGGAAATTGATCTCAGCTATACTTATATTTATATACTTTTTGTGTTAAAACAAACAGGAACATAAAATACCTAAACAATAAATAAGACGAAGACTAAACAACGAAAGATACTATTATCTCAATTTTATTGGCTTTCATTTAGAGAAACAAAGACAAAAATCACAAAGCTTAATATAACTAACACTCCGTGAGCCATCATCCTAAATGGACTGATGTTAACATTTTGACATGTTTGCTTTTTTTTTTTTTTAAATAAAAGAAGTTGGACAATAAAGATGAAATCTCCTTTGTCCCATCTTGAACCCCAGGCCCTTCCTGTGCTTCTCCAGAGCAGGCTGCTATCATGACTTCAGGACATTCTTCAGCCATTTCAAAGGACAGTAGAACACACATGTGCCAAGGAATGATACATAGTACTGTTTTATGCTTTAAAAATGTATGTGTGTGCTGTTGGTGGGAATGCAAATTAGTACAGCCACTATGAAAAACAGTAGGGAGGTTTCTCAAAAAACCAAAAACAGAACCATCATATGATCCAGCAATCCCACTGCTGGGATTTTATCCAAAGGAAAGGAAAGCAGTACAGCAAAGGGGTACCTGCGCCCCCATGTTTATGCAGCACTATTCACCATAGCAAAGATGTGATATTAACCTAAGTATCTATCAACAGATGAATGGATAAGAAAATGTGGAACATATACACACTGGAATACTATTCACCTATAAAAAGGAATGAAATTCTGTCATTTGCAGTGACATGGATGGAACTGGAGGTCATTATGCTTAATGAAACAAGCCAGGCACAGAAAGACAAATATTGCATGTTCTCCTTCATATGTAGGAGCTAAAAAATGTTGATCTTATAGAGGTAAAGAGTAGAATGATGGTTACAAGAGGCTGGAAAGAGTGGGGCAGGGGTAGGGAGTGAGCATGGTTAATAGGTACAGAAATCCAGTTAGATATAAGGAATAAGTTCTATTATTTGATAGAACAGTAGGGTGACTATAGTTAACAATAATTTATTGTATATTTAAAAATAGCTAGAAAAGAAGATTTGAAATGGTCCCAAAACAAAGAAATGATAATTGATTGAGGTGATAGATATCCTAAATACCCTGATTTAATCATTATACATTATATGCATGTATCAAAATATCACGTGTATCCCATAAATATGTACAATTGTGTATCAATTAAATTAAATTAAAATGTACCTGTGTGATATGTTAGACATAGTGTGCAACTTGCTTTATCATTCACTCTTATGCATTTAGAGCTCTGTGATTATGTATGTTCATATATTCCTTTTAATTGTTTAATATTTTATTATATAAATATACCACATTTTATTTACCCACTCCTCTGTTGATGGGCATTCAAGTTGTTTTAATGTTCTTTTTTTTGCTATTATAAACTATCCTGAAATGAGTAGTATTATCCATATTTCCCTGTGCAAATGTGCTAGAGTTTCTCCAGAATGTATGTCTAGAAATAGAACTGTTGAGTTGCAGGGTGTGCACACTTTCCACTTTCCAACACATACTACTTGGCCCTCCCACTAATCATCTCCCCATTTCTCCATATCCTATATCGGATATTTCAGACTTAAAATTTTTTGTCTATGTAAAAACTCTAACAGAAACTTCATCTTTTTTTTTTTTTCATTAAACTAAAAAGCTTGATGAACACTGAACTCTCCCCCGTCAACGCCAGCCCGATCAAGAAACAGAACATTACTCAGATTTCAGAAACCCACGGCAGCAGCCTACAATAACTACCCTCCTCTCCCCTGGTAACTGCAATGCTAACTTTGGACAGCAGAGATTATTTCTGCCTGCTTTTGAACTCAGTGTGAATGGAAACCATATAGTATGTTACTTTTATTTCTGGCTTCTTTTGATCCATATAATGTTTGGGAGATTCATCTATGTTGTTAGGAATCAGCCTGTTTCCAGTCCTTCATTCATTTTCATTGCTGGATATTATTCCATTGTATGAAAATTTCCACAACCTCTTATATTTAATTTTAAAACCTACCTGGGATTGATTTTTGTCTATGAAGTGAGGTAGGCATCAAGATTCATTTTTTCAAAATATGGCTTTCAACTAACCAAACCCCATTGATTACAAAGAGTGTCCTTTTCCTACTCATCTGTAGGGATACCTTTGTCAAAAACCATATGTCCACATGGGATGAGTCTGTCTCTAGCACAGCATTGTCCAGTGGAACTTTCTGCAGTGATGGAAATGGTCTGTATCTGTGATTTTCTATGCTACAGCCACTAACCACGTGTATCTACTGAGCAAATGAAATAGCAGTAGCTATTTAGCTCTGGAGTCCCTATTCTGTTCCACTGATCTATTTGTCCTTGTGCTAACACAACAGTCTTAATCACTGTAGATTTATAAGTTTTTCTATCTGGCAGTATATATCTCCCAACTTTGTTGTTCTTCAAAATTAATTTCATCATTCTTTGCCTTTTGCATTTTCAATATAACTTTTGGGATTAGCTTGTCAAGTTTCACAAAATACCTGCTAAGATATTGATTAGGATGGTATTGACTCTAGAGGTCAATTTATAGGTATTTTGTCTTAAAATATTGAGTCTTAATTGATAAATACAGTGGATCCGAACATTTACTTAGGTTTTGAAAGTTTTCTCTAAATAATGTTTTATGATTTTCTGTGTAGAAGTCTTAAACATCTTTTCTTAGGTTTATTCCCTAGTTGGCTGATGTTTTTTGATATTATTATAAATGGTATTTTAAAATGTGTTTCATGTTCTAAATATGTATTGCAGATTTATAAAAATATAATTGACGTTTTAATATGTTGACCTTGTATCCAAGGACTTTGCCTAAATTCACTTGTTAATTCTAATCTTTTTTTTAGAGACAGGATCTTGCTCTGTTGCCCAGGTTAGGGTACAGTGTGGCACAATCATAGCTAACTGCAGCCTGGAACTCCTGGGCTCAAGTG